TATATATATATATATATATATATATATATATATATATATATATATATATATATATATATTCTGTATTCTGTTTTTTCAAAATTTTTCAAAGAAAATAGCAATGAAGAGAAAAGAAAGTAAGAATGAGAAGAGATGCTTGTTAAAAAACATCGGCCCAGAAAGGAATTATCATTTTAAGTCATCATTGAAGAAGTTAATAAGAGTTAATCATTTTTAACATTTAAAGATTCTGATAAAATAAATTGAGACAAATAATACACTTTTTGTTTAATAATGAAGGGTTAGGGGAATTATTAATTTAAAAAAACGGGATACAGAATCGGTCAAAATTTGTACGTAAAAATCGGAGAAAATCCCGATGCGTGCGAGGGATTATTATCCGCCTGAGATAGCATGATCAATTCACGCAAACTAAAAATCCTTACTAGCCCATAACATACTTTAATGTAGTCGAATTTAGACTTTCAAGAGCCTTATTCCTAATGATTTGTTAGTCCAATAAATGTTCAGACTTCGTTCAAGCTTGACGCACCACAACGAAAATTCGCGATGAAAGCAGAAGCGCGCATGCAAAAGATAAAAAACTGAAAATGCGATGGATAAGTCATCTGTCGCTCACGTCGGTTCGCATTTCCCATCTGCATTTGCGGCCTCCCCTCCCTTTCCCGACGTCCGTCCCGGAACGCGTCCGATAGTATCACCGGAAATCATAAGTCATCGCGAGCAAATTGAATCGCGCAACAAATAAGGATAAATGCGCAGGAAGGTGGGTCTCCCGTGGTGTGTGTGTGTGTGTGTGCACGCGCGCGCGCGTGTGTTCTTCTCGTGGAGATAGGAGCGGATACGGATATATTTTCGCGACTGTTTCGCCTGTCTAGGTGTACATATATAGATGTCATGTATATGTAGGTGTACATGTGCGCCGCGTGTTATATCGCGCAGAAACAACTTGTTCTCGGCGAACAGCGATCGACGGGGCGGCGGCCATATAACGTCCGCGTGAGCGAGCCCATGTCCTCGTTCATCCTTCGAAATAGTTATTCGGTCGTAGTAACTGTCTCGGCCGCGAATCACCGCCGCGGCCGGCATTAAACGTACACGCACGTTTTACATGCGGCGGGCATGTAAATTGCCGTTTTGCGTGTAATCTACACAATTTGCGGACTACACCTTTTTTTACGGCGCTCGCGATAGGTTTCCTACCGGTTTGCTTTTTCTATTTTTTTTTATTTCGTCTCTCTCAGTAAGTCATTCGTGCGGAAAAATGTTGAGAACGTTCTCGGTTCCGTCGTCGAGGAAAACACGTCGCGGCAATGTATCGTTCGCGAAAATTGTCGCGCTAATTGGTCGATAGGTTGACACGTTTGCCTTTCTTCGCGTTTCTCGAGTTCCCTTCGTTCCCTAGAAAATTTACAGACAAATTTACTCGACGCACATTGTCTTCCCTTCTTCCTCCCTCCGTTCTGTTCTTACAAAATTCGCTCGTGAGCGTTCGATGTTTGCGCGAAAGTGTACTTCGCACGCGTATGGACGCTGGTGAGAACCAATTTTCAAACAATTCGGCAAAACGAGAGGTGATATACATCGGCAAATCGGTTCGGAAGAACTTCAAGGGATCAAGTTCGGGCCCCCACTTTCGGCCATAGGAGTCACGAAATTCCTGCGGCAATTTCGGGGAGAATCGAATGAGAATCGGAGAGCGGCGAAAGAGCCCTACAACGAAGGGAGAAGGTCGGTGAACGGCGGAGAAGGGCGAGGAAGGAGGGGGGAGGAGTCTTCCCCACAAGTAAAGGAGATAATAGGGGACATATCCTTTCGACCCCTTCGCTCACCATCGCCGCGCCACCCCTTCGAAATGGCTATTCTGTCGAATCCTCCGCGCGTATTACCAGTTAACGGTGAATGTCCACATATATCTGTGCTCACCGTAATGGATATAGTCGAGCGGATAAGGGGGATGAGGGGGTAAGTAGGAGGTAGGTAGGTAGGTCGTACCTGCGCCAATTAGTGTCAAACTACCGGAATAGGGGCCGAACGAAGAGAGAGAGAGAGAGAGAGAGAGGAAGAGAGGGACGGAGGGAGGGTTGTGAGAGGGTCGTCGTCGTCGTCGTCGTAGGTGTAGCAGAACTGTTTCGGGGACGATAAATTTTTGGCGAATCGATTTAATCCGCGCGGATGGAGGCGAACCGTCTGATTAAATTATCCGAGGTGAAACGGCCGCGTAATCGCGACGTATCAATCTTCCTTATTGCGTTATCGCGACTTTAGGGGGAATTTAGGAATCGGCGATCGATGCTCGCTGCTACGAAAGAGAAGCTTAGTGACGAGGGAGAGAGCGGGGGAGGGTTGTACCGATCGATCGATGCGCTCGGCGTAAACAACGACGGGCCGCATTCGTGCACTGAGAAAAAAGCTGGTTGATTTCTTTTTAATAAGACCTTGCTTGAACGGAGCTCGTTCAGGCAAATGTTTAGTCGACTGAACGAATCAGGGAAGACCAGGTCTAGCCGTTACACTTTTTACATAGTGACTAAAAACAAAATTTATGCAATATTTTTTTTTTAATATTGTGCACATTTTTATGTAGGTGTGAACTTTAGGCAAAAGAGAAAAAATATCTTTACATATTCGTGTATAAAGAAGTTATTAAGTTATAAGCAAAGTCGTGCATATGTGACTATTTATGTTACCCAAGATTAGTTGTCGAATATATTTTATGTAAAGGAAACAAAAAAAGAGATTATTTCTGTTTGAATGTTTCATTAAAGTTAGTGATATCTTATAATCAGATACAATAAATAGTCATTGAACTAAGAATATAATTATTTTCACAAACTTTGTAATGATAATTTTGATCTCTCTCTCTCTCTCTCTCTCTCTCTATATATATATATATATATATATATATATATATATATATATATATATATATATATATATTCATTTATTTATTTTTTCTTCTTTAGTGATTTATGCAAGAAGACACACACCAACTAGTATACGATAAATATTTATAATAAATATATTAAACCGCGCGATGAAACTTGTTGACATACAACGCCGACGTGGCTCTTATGTTCTTGATTATTTTTTCTCAATCGATTTACAATCTGGACAGCCTTTTAAATGTTATTTTCTAGTGGGGACACGTTATCTTGTCGTTCGCGAAATTTTTCAACATTCGCTTGATAAGCACAGAGAGAGAGAAAGAGAGATAGAGAAAGAGATGCGCAACTTTGCTGTAACAAGCTGTTGATAAGTCTGCTGGAGGCGAAAATATGCGCACAATCGGGGATACGGTGCGCGCATATTACGCGGGCGTAATTGCGGTGCGTTGAATGCATAGCGCAATGCGACCACGGCTGTCAATCACAGCTTCGTAAAAAATCTCGCAGCCTCATTGAAAACGCCGCGGCGGCGTGTTTGTCGGCTGCTGCGAACGATGGTGCAAGTGTGTGTGTATGTGTGTGCGCGCAAGATCTATATCGGTGTTGGCCGGCCACGTGTAACGGTTTTGTGTTCCGCGAATAAACTATGTAAACTATCTTTTTGCGTGCACACGGTGACATAATCAATGCGGATAACTCGTGAACACTCACTCGACGTGTGTCGTTTTCGATCCGCCGCCTGTCCTCGGTTTCCTGCAGATTCACGCTCGCAGGTACGGGAGTTACGTTTGCGCCGATTTTGGATACATATCGCGAAATCAATTGACTTTCAAATTTTCCAAAAATATCGACGAGCCAACGCTGTTGGCACGGTGCGAGTAAATAACCCGTCATTGGAAAGGTGGAATTTGATGAATTTTGTTTTTCTTTTTTTGTTGTGATTTCATAATTTTTCAAACCTTATAATATATTGATTCATGATTGGAATATTGAGATTTAATAGTAGTCAACAAGAAAAAAGTTTTGAAGATATTACAAAGATTTAAAGATAACGAAATGGAATGCGTGGGATTTCTCCACCTTTTTGGTGACTATTTTAAGAATAATGCTAATGCTATTAATAAATCAATAATTTTGATAGGTTACATTGATGATTAAATCAAAGGGAAAATTTAATCAACAATTTCATAATCTCGTAACTTTGTTATTAAACTAATTGTTATTTGAATAACTCTTATAATAATACAAGCTGAATTCCAGTTTTTGTCAATTTTTCAGTCTTAATACCAGACCAGACTACACGATTATACCAAGAGAGAAAATTCATTTGTGTGGGACGAAAGTATATTTCTGCGAAATTACAGTTTATTTCACAGAGAAGCAAACTCTTATTCATGGAGAAATAAACTTTACTCGACAGAAATAAACTTTATATCCCACAAATAAACTGTCAAGTTCCTTTCTCGCGGTGTAGCGTGCTTAATTTTTCAAAAGCGAGACATCTGCGAACGGAGTCGATCAGTTTGACTTCTGAGAGACTACGATATCG